TTTTTCAGCATGCAAGAGATATGCAATGCAGCCTTGGGCACGTGCGAAATAACAACGGTGTAACAGGTCCAAACCTTGTTTTGCTATAAGTTGAAGGGTAGCTGACCGAACTGGTAACTTGTTATACCGTAGTTAATTTTAGAAGGCGGTCATAATGATTGTTGATAATGAGGTCACAACCGCACAACTGGCAATTATAATGTGTAAAAGAGTTTAAGATATAATCAGATCTATTATTAGAACTACAATACCACGTTCATATAAGGCGAGTAATACCATGGTTATTGGTTAAATTATACGCATATCCTGTGGGTGACTAAACTATTTTATTGCTATGGTTTGTGCTTACATTTAAAATATTGAATTCTGAAAATATTTTAATCGACGGACTTACGTACATACATCCCTACATCACCGTGCATATTGTGGAGTATTAGCACTGCTTGTATACTAATCAAAGAGAAAAGCTCGAGCGCGCTTCTAGAGGGTATTTGGCTTACTCTTCCACACTGACCAGACGTCCCCTAGGTTGACTCAGCCTCAAATTAGTACCTGGTGCGGTGTGTAAACATCACCACTGGGGAGACAAAGGCGGCCGGGCGTGGTCCCGGCCACCCACCCCCTCGTTTACCGTGCCGGTCTTGAAAGGTGCTCGCTAACAAGCACTTGCTCCAACAGTATGTTAAGACTATACGGGGATAGGGGTGTCTTTATCTTTGTATATGTAAATATATAAAAACTCGTGAATTGCATGTGTATGTGTTTGCTCCAGCTCCAATGTCAAGATGCGAGGAGGAAGGTCCGTCTCTAACAGAGACCCCCACCCACATGTGCATGCGCTGGGGCCCACAGGGAATGCATTTGGAGGCGAGGCGCCTCATTATGAAACAAATGCCCCCGTTCGGCGCAGCGACTGATTTACGCAGCGCGGTCTGTAAACGTCGCGCGCGAACGGGGCCGGTAATGGGTGTCCCCTTTTATAAGTGGCACACATCACGCTGACATTTACAGACCTGATTGCTCGCACCGGCCCCCAATTGCCATGCGGTCATTCCACACAAAGGACGAACGGGTGGCGGTGGGGGTGGGGAGAGCCTTTGGGACTCGGAACACGCCTTAAATGTTGTGCATTGATCACTTGGATGGAAAAAAAACAAACCTGCCTGCCGGGCGTACACAAACACATAGGAATACAATGCAAGTCTTTGCTGTTATCTGCAGATAAAATAGATGTACGGAGTGGTGCTCGCAATTGCTGCGATAATATATACATTAGAGTATACAGATGCAAAGGTGCAGGCCTGCAACTGCTGGCTCACGCCACTGCTGGTGGAATGACCTCCACAAGACGGAGTTCAAGAGAGGCCCTCCAGAGGGAATGTTGGCCTACTCCTCCTTGCTGGACAGATGTCTTGAAATAGGTGGGAGCACCCACACTTTATCCCAACACACGTGGCATACCAATAGACTGACCGTGGTCGACTAACCATTTATCCTGCTGGAGTGGACAGAGGAAGAGAGCTTTCAGACACTTGCACCAGGCTTTCAACTGCCGTGCCGAGAGATAAAATTTAACCGATGACCTCTTGAAATAAAGATGCGGTGCATCTGATGTCTATTGTAAAAGGAACATGTAACGTTTTCAATACGAGGGCTTTTCAAAATCAACGTTCTTATGTTGACTTTCGCCGCTGGTCTGTTTTGTTGCCCTTAAATTCCTCAATATTTATGTATGTCCTTGGCAGCGGAAATAGGGCGAATGTGATTGACTGCGATAATCTGTAATAGACGGACGGGTATTTTATAACGGATGTTTTTTTAAATTTTCAGTTTCATGAAGTTGTTGGCCGAAATTAAAATCAACGAGTAAAAAAAAACCCACCTTTGCATTAAAAAATAGTTTGCTTTTATAAACATATATATAACCAGCTAGAGGACATATTCTATAGGTCGTTCAGTAAAGCCACGTAGATAGGTTCAAAGAAAATAACAAAAAACTCCGACGTTTCAATCGCGACGCAAGCGGTCGTCATCCTCCTGATGCCATGCGGTCATTCCATCCTCCTGATGACGGCCGCTTGTGTGCGATCGAAACGTTGGAGTTTTTTTGTTATTTTCTTTGAACCTATCTACGTGACTTTACCGAAAGACCCAAATAATGTGAATTCCTGCAGTCACGAAAGCTTTAAGTGAAGATTTAGGACAAATGCTCATTACTGATTTAAATTGTCCTTGAAACATCGGTGTTCATCATATATTTAAGAAAAAAACATTGAGCCCTTTCCCCCCCCTAAATTGCACATAGTTACAAATCTATAGAGGAGCCACGCAGAACTCCCTCATAAGGAGCGGCCCTTCTGTCAGCGATGTAAGGGGCAAGATATTGGAGGACTGCACCTTTATCTTAAATACATAATTACAGGACGTTGAGGTGAAGGTGTGTGTGTCTGTGCCTTCGGTAATATCACACGCTATTGTCTCTTGTATTATTTCAGCTATACAGTACAGTACTTAGTGTGCCGTTATCCATTGTAAATACAGAGGGCACAAAATGCACAGGACAGCCAAGGTCGTGTTTTTATAACCATAGCATATTCTAGACATTAGTGCAAGATTATAAAACCTTAATATCCAACATAACTCGACGCTTAATCCTACCCCTGTTTAATTGCTTAGGAAGAAGTTACTACATTATTACCCTGTATATTCCACGACAGTGCTCAGTGACGTTCTGTAGAATATTGTTTTCTATGCTTATGGCCAGTCGTGTAGAGAGAGGACCCTTACCAATAACATCCAGCAGACTAGAAGGATATGTTTAGCACAGCTGACTCTGCTGTAAGCCCAAGATGGGTAAAACTGGTCCAGAGTTTGCATGTTTAAGTACATGCTGATCATTAACCGAAGTCTGGAAGGCCCCAGAGGCCGCTCAAAGATATTTCAAGGAGAGCGATGGAACATAATTGATTGATTTCATGTGTTACTAATTTATCTCTGTTAATTGAAGTCATTAGACTTATCCAAAGCATATATGCTCACCAACCACAACCAAATATATGACAACTTGGTCTGTAACGGGAACATTATTGCTGAATTGTTATATTTAAAATATATTAACTTTTTTCTAGGTCATTCTGTTTGTAACGGGCAATTATAAGATCGGATGTGACAGGAGCCTAGCCTCTAATCCAATGAAGCACGTGTTTGCGCGATAACGCGTCATCTCACGCGGCGTTTTAAATCAGCCGCTACATCAACGGTAGAAATCGAGCTCTATCTTGTCTGGTTCACAATGAGCACTCTGTCTTATCTGTAAACAAATATCCGACCCGCATCGCAGGAAGCTATCGTACAGCGGTACATACAGATAACTCAACACAACAAAAACCCCACGCCGCATCGCAGGATGATGACGGTTACATCTCTGATGTGTCTTGGGTTTGCCGCATCTTGTTCGGCACAATGTCCGACGTTCCGCTCCTTGTGCTGTGAGCTTCTTTCGGGAAGTGAATTCGGTTCTCAACAGCAGACATTGTGCAGAACAGCACGCGGTGAAACTCAAAAACACTGACCAGCGTAACTGCCGAAACGTACGCTGGAATAGAGAGAGAGATTAACTCTTTAAATTCCTCCTAAATCGCACGTGCCACACTTGCGACGCACGCGATTACAGTCGACGCCACTATTCCCATTTAGTTGTTCCCTTCAAACAGATCACTGTCCAGTCTGGCACTTGGTGACGTGTCCATCAGGACAGGTGTCATGTTCTTTGCACACAAGGGCGGTCAACAGAAGTCTCCCTGACCCAGAGCAAAGTGTCAAACAATGTCGTCTTGAGTGGCACGGAGATGGGCCAGGAGGTGCCTTTGTGCACAACGAGACACTCACGTCTCTCGTTGCACTTGGGACAATTGGCAGTGTCACGTGCGATTGGTGATGCTGCAAAATATATCAACTCAACTCGGGGTTATTCGGGGTAATGTCTTATCCGGGATGACCTGGATAAAGCAAATGGATCATCCAACATACGTTTAAATTCGCATACAAAACGTATTTTTGTTCACCTATGTTAGACGTAAAATGCACTGTCTCGGTTTAGTCACCTTAATGTTGCGTACTCACGTGACCACCGATTTAACTTATTGGCTTTGAAAAAATATTGCAACTTTATGGCAGCTTCAAAAAGTTTTTACATTTGCTGTGTCTTGCGACTTACAAAGCGAACGTTCAATTGGACGTTTCCGCTCCTTGGCATAAAGTGGACACTTTCGCTGAAAATATTTCACAGGTCATAACAGAAGCTTTTAAGGGCACATACCCAAGGGTAAGGGAGTTGATCAATGGTGCAGTGGTTCGCATGCTGGCTTACAAACCTGAGTTTAATATCTGTCCACGACTGACATCAGCGATGAGTGTTCTCTGAACTAGTCCAGGGCCTCTTGCTTCATCAACCTGCACTTGGCAATGCGGTGAAGTATCGTCAAACATCCCAGAAGTATGGTCAAACATCCCAGAAGTGTGGTCAAACATCCCAGAAGTATGGTCAAACATCCCAGAAGTGTGGTCAAACATCCCAGAAGTGTGGTCAAACATCCCAGAAGTGTGGTCAAACATCTCAGAAGTGTGGTTAAACATCCCAGAAGTGTGGTCAAACATCCAAGAAGTGTGGTCAAACATCTCAGAAGTGTGGTTAAACATCCCAGAAGTGTGGTAAAACATCCCAGAAGTATGGTCAAGCATCCCAGAAGTGTGGTCAAACATCCCAGAAGTATGGTCAAGCATCCCAGAAGTATGGTCAAACATCTCAGAAGTGTGGTCAAACATCCCAAAAGTGTGGTCAAGCATCCCAGAAGTATGGTCAAACATCCCAGAAGTATGGTCAAGCATCCCAGAAGTATGGTCAAACATCTCAGAAGTGTGGTCAAACATCCCAAAAGTGTGGTCAAGCATCCCAGAAGTATGGTCAAACATCCCAGAAGTATGGTCAAGCATCCCAGTCAAATTGTTGTCCTTCCCCCGCACCTCCAATTAGTACGGTTGGCTAGGTACAATGCGAAATAGGTTCAACATACGTACATTCACAAACTTGGTATGGGGGGGGGCATCATCCAGCAGTGGATTTGAAAAGGTCTTTAGTATATGATTATTTTATGCCCGAGGTGTGGGGTGTATTAGTCATGCGTTGGTCAACGCACTGCACTATGGAACTGGCAATCTGAGCCACGGCTAACATCAGTTGCGAGTGATACTGAACCAGTCCAGGGCCCCCTGCCTGCAATAACCCACACTGACCACTGTGGTGAAGTATGGTCAAACAGTCCAGCCATCTGCAAGTCTAGGCATGTAAATAATAATTGATTATTTTAATTAAATTATACTTTAAGTCTATGACAAAATAAATTATTTCATATTAAAATCACGTGCAAATGCGAACTTTATTTTAAAGCTGTGGAACACATAAGGCAGGATGAGACGTACCTCGCAGAGCAGGAGACACAAACAGACAGAAGTGAGATGAATACACAATTAGATTTTTCCAATCAAATTTCAGGGAAAGGATGGTGAATCATTTCCCAATTGGTGTGCAGCATGATCTCAGAAAATATGCGATCGCATTTTTCAAAAGCGTGGACTCTCAACTGTTCATCGTTTGTGTATAACAAACACCGCCACATCAGCAGATACGAAAATAATATGTCAAGATGTTACTGTTTCTGGTAATGACCGTCACCGTTCATTAACTACAGTGCAGACCTATCTCCTGAAACTATCCACAATTGACTGACACTGCCGTATAAGTGAAACGTGTGCAGTAAAGCAAGCTAAAGTTTTGGGTATCAGCATGTGCACCAGCGCTCTGTGCACCAGCGCTCTGTCTTGTAGAGATGTATCTTGAACTTCTTTCGCACCGCACGTCGCCAACCATGCTGATTGGAGGTGTGGGGACTTCACGTCCGCCCGTCTGTGTCCATAATAGCAGGACATGGCAACTCTCATCGAGATAATCCAATATGAATGAACCTGTGGTTGAAAGTTGTGTTGCGATAATGGACTATTAAAACCAGCCCAAGGGTTACCCAAAACTTGCAGACACAAAACCAACACTGAAAGGGGCAGCTTGCAAACACGCTCATCTCTTTTTGCCCTGTAAGCTGCCCCGCTGGCTTCCGTGTTGCAAAAAATATATATTTAAGAGGACAAACGCATGTTTGCGAAGCGTTACGTAAACCATACACGTGCATGATTTATCTTCATTGCTTCGTCGTAGACAGGGGTGGGATCGTGAACTTGTAGATGGATACAGTAATATTCTTCATGGTTGATCGAAACAGGTGACTAAACTACAGCGGGGAGACAAGGTGTCACAGAATTGTTGTCGAAAATGTGTTTCGTGTGTCTAGTTACATGACAATGTTTGTAAATGGCGTTCGTAAAGCCAGGAACGTGTTCTTGTAAAGGAATATTTCTCGGGTACATTTCAAAATCTATGGTGGCGTTTTGTAACGGCGATCGTAAGCCAGGTACGAGTAGAGTGCTTGTGAAAATTGAGTTCTCTGCGTATAAACCGAACTTCAAAGCTCACGGCAGCGTTTGTAGCGCCAACGGAAAGCCACCTCCTCCGGGCACACGCCGGTCAGAGGTTCAGAGTCTGCGTCGACGACCGTGCCTCCTCCGAGCGTTGTGCCCTCAGTAGCAACTCTCCTCGCCCGTCCGCGGCGACCAGAGGGGACTCGTCGCGCCGCACCAACCTGGGCGCGCGCTCTCCCGTCGCCGGCCGCCCCCCCTGAGAACTGCGCGTGGGTCTCACGTGGGGGCCCTCCTCCCTCCGTGGCTCAGCCCAGGTCGGGTCGCCGACGTTGCCCGCGCGCGGCTCGTCCACCGTGCGGCCGCCGCCGCCGCCGCCGGGTTTCCCGCGCTGCACGCGGTTCGCCGGAGCGACGCTCGTGCAGCCATCACCGTCGTCGGCGTCGCGATCGAGGCCGGGCAGCCGCACGTCGAAGCGGGAGGCCCCCCGCGGGCCGCCGAGGCGCTGGTTGAGCAGGTAGAGCTTCTCGGCGATGTCGTGGCCGATGAGCAGGGAGAAGAGGCGCGCCATGTAGCGGTCGCTTGCCAGCAGCAGGTACAGGTCCCTGCGGCGCCACGACACGAAGCAGCAGGTTGTGTCGGCCGTCAGCGTCACCTGTCACGTGGAGGAGAGAGCACGGAGGACGGGGGCGGGAGGGGGGGGTATTTGATGGTGCCAGACTCACCGCATTGTCTAAGTGTGTACATTGAACTTCTTTCGCGCCGTACGTAGCCAACCGTGCCAATCGGAGGTGCGGAGGAAGGACGGCAAACTGGACGCAAAAATAAGTTATAAGTAAATTCGTTTTCAAATTTAAAATGTGCATAGCTCAAGTCAGTTTATGATATCGGAAGAAAGAGCGTTCTAGACGGCCATAGAGGCACATGTAAAGAGCCGCGTGATGTGAACCAAAAGCCACTGCTGCTAAGAGGATGCATCACATTGCACTTAACTACCGGACTGTGCTACTCTCGACTGATCAACACGTATTCACAGAGAGTCCAATTGATCAACACGCACCCTTGCAGGGTCCAATTGATCAATATTCAAGCTGCGTGATATCCTAGTTCTGTGATATTTCTTCTGTGTGATATATTCCCTGAGTGATATGTTGCCTATATGTTATCTCAGCTATTTGGATATCCCTGTGGAGGTATCAAAGTCACATTTGCATGTAATTTTCATGAATCTTAAATATACTCTTACATACGCACGACCGAAGGCATTTATTGCGAGTGTTAGGACATACTTCAGTCATCGATGTAATCACAACCAGCCTGGTTGTTAATGTGTTGCATCTAAACTATAAAATATTTTCTTAGCTCTTTCGGTAAAGTCACGTGACTTTACCGAAAGAGCTAAGAATATGAATTACTGCAGTCACGAAAGATTTAAATCAAAATATAAACTATTTTTTTTAACCAAAAATTTTATTTTGGCCCACTGAGCTATATAGCTCTTTTTCAGAAATGACCTGGCCACAAATGATAGCTAAACGAAGTGGCTTATCATTTAGAAATGTATAGCAGCCAAATACTCTAAACGCATGTTTCTAAATGTGGAGGGGAAAACCAGAGGACCCGGAGAAAAATCCACGCTACCACAGGGAGAGAGACACACAAACTCCAAATATACAGCAGGCATCAGGGTTGGAATCGAACCCACGGCCTCCTCTATACCAGGCGAGGCAGTTAACATCTCGCCGCCGCGGCGCCCATCTCACCACCAGCTCACCACCAGCTCACCACCAGCTCACCACCAGCTCACCACCAGCTCACCACCAGCTCACCACCAGCTCACCACCAGCTCACCACCAGCTCACCACCAGCTCACCACCAGCTCACCACCAGCTCACTACCAGCACACGTGCTCACCTGGAACTTCCCATCTTCCGATGGCCTCAGGGACTCCCATTCTGGGGCATCCAGGAACTGGTAGGGATGGATGAAGTGCAGAAACTGGCCTTCCACAGTCACCCTTATCCTGGGGGTTAGACGATGACGGACACAGACAAGACTCGGGTTTAACGACGCTCAGTGTTCCTCTGTGTACGTCAGATACAACGCGAACTTATGTATTGTTATGGAGGCTCATGAGTAATGGTTAGCATGCTGAACCTGCAATCCAAAGGTCACCAGTTTAGTCTCCTGGCAAGACGGTATAAATAAATCTCTTCAAACCCTCCTGTGGTGAGGTAAAGTGTGGGCACAACACATCTTCCAAATCGTCTAATGATGGTGGTGATGGTATTGATGGTGGTGCAGGTGATGGGGCTGACGATGTTGATCATGATGCTATAATAGTAATGATGATAGTTAGTATGATAACAGTGGTCGTGGTGGTGGTGATAATAGCAATCATGATGATGACAATGATGGCAGTGGTGGTGGTGGTGGTGATAATAGCAATGATGATAATGACAATGATGGCAGTGGTGGTGGTGATAATAGCAATGATGATGATGACAATGATGGCAATGGCAATGGTGGTGGTGGTGGTGATAATATCAATGATAATGATGACAATGATGGCAGTGGTGGTGGTGACAATAGCAATGCTGATGATGACAATGATGGCAGTGATGGTGGTGGTGATAATAGCAATGATGATGATGACAATGATGGCAGTGGTGGTGGTGATAACAGCAATGATGATGATGATAATGATGGCAGTGGTGGTGGTGGTGGTGGTGATAATAGCAATGATGATGATGACAATGATGGCAGTGGTGGTGGTGGTGATAATAGCAATGATGATGATGACAATGATGGCAGTGGTGGTGGTGGTGATAATAGCAATGATGATGATGACAATGATGGCAGTGGTGGTGGTGATAACAGCAATGATGATGATAATGATGGCAGTGGTGGTGGTGGTGATAATAGCAATGATGATGATGACAATGATGGCAGTGGTGGTGGTGGTGGTGGTGATAATAGCAATGACGATGATGACAATGATGGCAGTGGTGGTGGTGATAATAGCAATGATGATGATGATGACAATGATGGCAGTGGTGGTGGTGATGGTGATAATAGCAATGATGATGATGACAATGATGGCAGTGGTGGTGATAATAGCAATGATGATGATGACAATGATGGCAGTGGTGGTGGTGATAATATCAATGATGATGATAATGATGGCAGTGGTGGTGGTGGTGATAATAGCAATGATGATGATGACGACAATGATGGCAGTGATGGTGGTGGTGGTGATAATAGCAATGATGATGATGACAATGATGGCAGTGGTGGTGGTGATAATAGCAATGATGATGATGACGACAATGATGGCAGTGATGGTGGTGGTGGTGATAATAGCAATGATGATGATGACGACAATGATGGCAGTGGTGGTGGTGATAACAGCAATGATGATGATGATAATGATGGCAGTGGTGGTGGTGGTGGTGGTGATAATAGCAATGATGATGATGACAATGATGGCAGTGGTGGTGGTGGTGGTGATAATAGCAATGATGATGATGACAATGATGGCAGTGGTGGTGGTGGTGATAATAGCAATGATGATGATGACAATGATGGCAGTGGTGGTGGTGATAACAGCAATGATGATGATAATGATGGCAGTGGTGGTGGTGGTGATAATAGCAATGATGATGATGACAATGATGGCAGTGGTGGTGGTGGTGGTGGTGATAATAGCAATGACGATGATGACAATGATGGCAGTGGTGGTGGTGATAATAGCAATGATGATGATGATGACAATGATGGCAGTGGTGGTGGTGATGGTGATAATAGCAATGATGATGATGACAATGATGGCAGTGGTGGTGATAATAGCAATGATGATGATGACAATGATGGCAGTGGTGGTGGTGATAATATCAATGATGATGATAATGATGGCAGTGGTGGTGGTGGTGATAATAGCAATGATGATGATGACGACAATGATGGCAGTGATGGTGGTGGTGGTGATAATAGCAATGATGATGATGACAATGATGGCAGTGGTGGTGGTGATAATAGCAATGATGATGATGACAATGATGGCAGTGGTGGTGGTGACAATAGCAATGCTGATGATGACAATGATGGCAGTGATGGTGGTGGTGATAATAGCAATGATGATGATGACAATGATGGCAGTGGTGGTGGTGATAACAGCAATGATGATGATGATAATGATGGCAGTGGTGGTGGTGGTGGTGGTGATAATAGCAATGATGATGATGACAATGATGGCAGTGGTGGTGGTGGTGATAATAGCAATGATGATGATGACAATGATGGCAGTGGTGGTGGTGGTGATAATAGCAATGATGATGATGACAATGATGGCAGTGGTGGTGGTGATAACAGCAATGATGATGATAATGATGGCAGTGGTGGTGGTGGTGATAATAGCAATGATGATGATGACAATGATGGCAGTGGTGGTGGTGGTGGTGGTGATAATAGCAATGACGATGATGACAATGATGGCAGTGGTGGTGGTGATAATAGCAATGATGATGATGATGACAATGATGGCAGTGGTGGTGGTGATGGTGATAATAGCAATGATGATGATGACAATGATGGCAGTGGTGGTGATAATAGCAATGATGATGATGACAATGATGGCAGTGGTGGTGGTGATAATATCAATGATGATGATAATGATGGCAGTGGTGGTGGTGGTGATAATAGCAATGATGATGATGACGACAATGATGGCAGTGATGGTGGTGGTGGTGATAATAGCAATGATGATGATGACAATGATGGCAGTGGTGGTGGTGATAATAGCAATGATGATGATGACGACAATGATGGCAGTGATGGTGGTGGTGGTGATAATAGCAATGATGATGATGACGACAATGATGGCAGTGGTGGTGGTGATAACAGCAATGATGATGATGATAATGATGGCAGTGGTGGTGGTGGTGGTGGTGATAATAGCAATGATGATGATGACAATGATGGCAGTGGTGGTGGTGGTGGTGATAATAGCAATGATGATGATGACAATGATGGCAGTGGTGGTGGTGGTGGTGGTGATAATAGCAATGATGATGATGACAATGATGGCAGTGGTGGTGGTGATAACAGCAATGATGATGATGATAATGATGGCAGTGGTGGTGGTGGTGGTGATAATAGCAATGATGATGATGACAATGATGGCAGTGGTGGTGGTGGTGGTGATAATAGCAATGACGATGATGACAATGATGGCAGTGGTGGTGGTGATAATAGCAATGATGATGATGATGACAATGATGGCAGTGGTGGTGGTGATGGTGATAATAGCAATGATGATGATGACAATGATGGCAGTGGTGGTGATAATAGCAATGATGATGATGACAATGATGGCAGTGGTGGTGGTGATAATATCAATGATGATGATAATGATGGCAGTGGTGGTGGTGGTGATAATAGCAATGATGATGATGACGACAATGATGGCAGTGATGGTGGTGGTGGTGATAATAGCAATGATGATGATGACAATGATGGCAGTGGTGGTGGTGATAATAGCAATGATGATGATGACGACAATGATGGCAGTGATGGTGGTGGTGGTGATAATAGCAATGATGATGATGACGACAATGATGGCAGTGGTAGTGGTGGTGATAATAGCAATGATGATGATAATGATGGCAGTGGTGGTGGTGATAATAGCAATGATGATGATGACGACAATGATGGCAGTGGTGGTGGTGGTGATAATATCAATGATGATGATGACGACAATGATGGCAGTGGTGATGGTGGTGATAATAGCAATGATGATGATGATGACAATGATGACAGTGGTGGTGGTGATAATATCAATGATGATGATGACAATGATGGCAGTGGTGGTGGTGATAATAGCAATGATGATGATGACGACAATGATGGCAGTGGTGGTGGTGGTGGTGAGTGAACGGAACACCTGCCAGTGAGGAGGATGGACAGCCTGTCGATGGGTGTGATGCCCTCCATGGCATAGAGGTGGTGGGGCTTGAGAAGCAGAACCTCTTGGGCGCTGCACGCCATGACCCTGCGGAAGGCTTCCCGTGGTACCTTGGACAGCACGACACACGAAGAGGAGGAGGAGCGTAACGCCCGTCAGCTGTAACCAACTCACCCACTCGTGCTCACCAGTGTGGTGAGGTATTGGCAGTGCTTGTGTCAGGCCTCCTGCAGTGACACAAGTTGTCTAATAGAGCGGTGAGTGCTGGAGTGATTAGCGCGCTGCACTTTGAACTCGGCGATCCGAGTTAGAGTCCCTATCACGGCCAACACCAGTGACGATTATCTGAATCGGTCCTGGGCCTCTCCTAGGTCGACTCAGCCTCACGAGGGAGACAAAGGCTGCCTGGTGTGGTGCTGGCCATCCATCGGTGCCTCATTTTACAGCACTTGCCCTAACGTATTATGTTGAACTTCTTTCGCACCATATGTAGCCAACGTACGGTGCGGGGTAAGGACATCAAACTGAACATTCGTATTTGTGTATATCTGTATCAATGCGTGTATATATGAATAACTCCATACAGACACGGACAGTCTGGTAAAGGCTATAGGGGGGATCTTTTTCTATGTGTACGAAACGAGAGTGCGGTAGTGTCGTGCTTAGCGCGCTGCGCTACAAAACCAGCGACCTGAATCCAATCACCGATCACGGCTCACATCAGTGGCGAGCGAAACCTGATCCAGCCCTAGTCGCCCCACTCCTCCTCCTTCACCAACCCATGCTGACCAGTGTGGTGAAGTATGCTTAAACAACTCCCGTGACTCATACAGCACGGGGAGTCTTTCATCCAGCAGTGGCACGTGGTGTCTTTAATGTGAGCACTGTAGCTGTCATGAAAGGCCGTGGTGTGATGTTTGCAACACTAAGCTGTGATTATTTTTTTGCCCAAGATTTGTAAACTGTTTCATTTGGTACCTGGAGAGGCTGAAAGATGCTCGTGTAAAGTTCTTCAAAGGCTTGGTCCAACTGCACCGGTCTCAGTTGGTATGCGAGATAAAACACCTGCAGCGATGATACATGTATGTATATATGTGATACATGTATGTATATATGTGTGTGTGTAGGCAGAATCAACTTAATCATCTGGTCAGTCACGCAACTTTGTTTTAGTTAATCCACGTGCATGGAGGAAACCAAACGGAAAAGACGTTATGGAAAATGGCCAAACAAAGATACAGCGCAAAACTCGTAGTGTGTAGGTGAGCTTCTTTCGTGCCGTAGGCAGCCAGCCGTGCTAATCGGAGGTACGGGAGGAGGAGAACAAACGAAAGACTCAGTCCGCGTTTGTTTAGAGTTCACAGAGATGTAGACACAGAGTTATCCACACACACTCATAGATATATTCTGTACGCACACCTTTCGAGTCTGTATCTGTATAGCGTTACTCATATACTATACATACACTGATACAGATATATAACACTGATACAGATGTACACACACTCATGGTATGTGTCTGTACAGGCAGCAGAGAGTAATTGTATAGGCTCAGTCCTCCCATCATGCATGCTATGTCAGACCACCAACTCAAAGTGAGAAGAGTGGTACCTCTATATCAGGGGTCGGCACCCAATATAACAACAAAAGGCATTTTTTTCGAATTATATTTCAAGAGCCGCAATGCCATGTGAATACAAGAAGGTGGTGGTCCTTAATAATGTCACGAAGCAGTCCTTAAAGAGCCACCGCATGCGGTTCTGTCGTCGCAGGTTGCTGACCCCTGCTCGATATTCTGGCTGGGGGAGGAGTCAATTGTATCGCAATAGGCCCTGTCTGCTGCTCTAGATGTTGACACGGTGCGTCCTCCTTGGGTCAAGGGTTGCCAACCTGTTCTCACCTCATCGAGTCTTAAGCAACTTGCATCTTGACAACAAAGAGAAAGCAAAGCTCTCGGCCAGCTGACTGCGGTGGCGTTCGCCTTTTGCCATCCTTGCCATTCGGCGATTTGGACGGCCCCAGGTGGTGGATCGCAGAGAGATTTGTGAAACGCAAATGCCCACTGTGCTGTGAGGTGGCCAAGAGAAGTCAGTTCAGCAGTGGTGTAAGCGTGGTTCACAAGAGCCCTGGTGAAATACATTGAATGGGGGGGCCTCTGTACAATTTACCTCTCGCTATTTTACGTATGCATTCCAGACGGGCGCAGCAGCGCATCCAAAATCCGCTGCGAAGATGACCACCGGAGTTTGCATGATGGTTTATGCTCCTTGACAAGATCAGCAGGTTTTGTGGTTCATGTGCGAACTCGAAATGTATTCGTTCGACAACCGGCGCCTGGGCCTCTCTAACCCGTGATGCTGCGGTGCTGCAGTTGCACCACTTGCACACTTCATAACGAAGCCAAGTTTAAGTTATTTTGTGCTGGGTCAACAAACATGGCGAAGGCAAAACAAACGACGAATAAAGGTCACTTACAGCAAAGAAGCAAACAGGAATTAGAACAACAAAGAAACAGCCGCGTCGCATGGCAAATTTTAAACATTGCACAAACACAAATCAGTGCCACATCACGAACTCCCCGCAGCGCACGTCAAAACACTCCATCTCACGGGTGGCTCTCGCCTAAATGTAAACATTTTACTTGCCACAAATAGTTGGGCTACAAGCAGCAATGCGGGCCTCCCCTGTACGAGAGAGTCTCGAGACTCGATGGACCCTTCCTGTATAAATAAATATGAAATTAATATTTTATTAGGAGAGTGGCAGCATAGGAATAAACGCAGGCTCAGTGCGTTCCCCTTCACATTATTGCCAAGTCAACTTGTTTATTTAAAAAAAAAAACATACCCTGAGTTCTGTTTATAAAGCTTCCGACTCCACCACGGAACCAATGACCATTGGGCCAAATGTTAACTCTGACTTAATTTCACATGAGGTCGACTACCGAAAACAATATTTATTATTTATTGGAAACATATGAGCCGTAACAATCGAATACTAGAGGGGAATATTTTAGAAGTTTAGCATTCTCAGTCACTTCTGTCACTACAAGGGCCTCTTGTAGTGACAGATATGACTGAGATGTGTATTAGTAATGCGTGGCTGGCCAAAGGAATTTGAAATTCTTATTCGTTTCTCAATAAATAAAGAGGTTTCCCCACAACTGATCTACACACTGGCCCATTGGTCATTACCAGCACAATGGGAGGGAGAGGTGTCCATATGTAGACCATGCTGGTTGTGGATGCTGGTGGCAATGGTAGTAAACCTCAAATGAGTACCTGGTGCGGTGTGTGAACATCACCACTGGGGAGACAAAGGCGGCCGTGCGTAGTGTTGGTCACGAACCACCTCGTGTGCCGTGACAGCATTCATAGGTGCACGCTAACAGCACTTTCCCCAGCAGTCTGTTGAGGCTATAGGGGGATCTTTGTCTTTGCGTAGTGTAGCGAGCGTGGAGCAAGGGGGTGCCTTGCCCCCCCCTCCCAATGACGAAAGCTACGAGTTGGAGCCCCCTTGACAACCACCATTAGATGTGTTTTCAACAACAGTGTCAAAAAACAAATATTGATTTAAAACGGAGCGCCCCTACAGCGTTAAATGTTCGATACCGTGAGCGTAACGGCGATGTGATTATGCAAGATGAGCCGCGTATACAATAGCCTAGGTGTGACCATGCGAGACAAATCAAACCTTGGGGTCCCACCTGACCGATGTGGCTAGCTACGCCACCGCCGGGAAGGAAGGAGGTGAGGCACAAAACGTTCACCTGGCCGAGGCACGCCGCGAGCAGCAAGAAGTTCCACCCGAACGCGTCGATGGCGCAAGCGTCGACCCAGGCCCAGACGACGAGGCAGAGGAAGGCGGCTCCCAGGAGGCCGTACGAGTAGAGGCGGCCGGCGAGCCCCGAGCCCCCCATCGCGCCCAGCAGCATGAAGACGGAGGCCAGCTGGAACACGGCCCCCTCGGTCCCGCGGCTCCACACGCGGCACTTCGCGTGCTCCTCCGAGAGAGGCCCACTGTGGTCACTGCTGCCCATGTCCGTGCGGGTCCGCAAAGACGGTGGCGGTGCCAGCCAAGGACGACCACGAGATCAATCTTCTGTCCGATTCTGGCCCCAGCGTTGATTTTTGCCGTTGTTGCTAATTAAGTTGTGAACCTCTTGGGGTCTTCGTTTTCTATGGCTTCTTCTTCTTCTTTCCAAAGCCACTGCGATCTCATTTGTACATCACGAGAGAGGAGTAATTAAGAGACAGCTCTAGGTGTAGTCCATGTCGACAGCCGTGGAAGTTCAGCTCTTTTCTATCTTGGATATGTATGCAATAACAATACAGCACGACGTTGCCTATAACACGGCAGTCTACTGATTTGTTTTTGTATTCAGATGACGAACGGAATCCACCGATGTGAAATTAATATACTTGGCTTGTTTTAGGTACCGGCTGGACATTGTCACAGATGAACGTTACTAACCGTGACAGATGGAGCTTGTTCACCGATAAATGCCTCCGCACGCAATGAACCCATTGCCATTGAGTTACGGAATGAGCATCAGATGTACACTTTGCGCAGCTTTCAGCTAGGACACTTGGGCTAAGTCGACACAGGCAATGATGATGTGGCAACAATATCCACACACACAAAGATCGAGTGCTAGAGTACGGAGTTTAAGCCGTTCGTCGTCGCTGCTGGGATAAATTACCCCCACAATGGCTGTCGGTAGGTACTCACATTGGCACTGGCTGCTCCAAATCGTAAACAAATTCACGCGCTGTAGTTTTGTCCGGCTGCTCACGGCGAGGCCTCGGGGTTGGTGGCTTCGAGCGCCGCCTCCACCCCGCGCGCGAGCGGTGCCGCTCTCTCTCCGCCTGGGCTCGGCACAAAATGTGGCCAAGATCGCGGAGCCGGGAGTGCGAAGCAGCAAATGCTAATTGCGCCCAGGAATGGTGCCTTGTTTGTCCTAACGAGAACAAACTTACCCAAAATGCGTTGTGCCAGCAACATTTTATGATTTAACTTTGAATGTAAATTCGTTTATTTAGTGGGTTTATTTTGGTACTCAATAGCTACTCTTAGGTAATTATTCCTATGCCCACTTAGAAACTGGTCATCATTTTTTTGTATTCGCGTAATCAGGTACCCAGGTGTTAAGTGCAGTCTTTAACTCTCATTAGCTCTATACAAAGCCGCTCCTAAGGGTACGGCTAATCGGGGCGACCGCCTCGGACCCCGCGATTTGAGGGGCTCGGCGTGTCGACGTCACGTTCAGAGTATTTGGCTGCTGCTTCAAATTTCCACACGATAAGCCACTTCAATGAGCTATCATTTGTGGCCAGGTTGCTTCTGAAAACGAGCTACATAGCTCAGTGGACTCACCTAAGTAAAATAAACATAGTTTAGTTTCTAGTTTAGTGTCAGATGTCGTGTGATTGCCCCAGACCCAGCACCCCGCTATGGATGGCCCTGACTATATATTTGTTTATGTGGCGTCTCTGTTTATGAGCGATGAAAGGGGACCATTGCCTGAAACGTCGACGATAGTATATTTTCTTCTTTTAAGTCGATGTTGTTAACGAGTGTGTTAAGTTTTTGTTTTGGAGCATCTCTACACTTATATGTTGTCCTCCTGCACCTCCGATTGGCTACGTATGGTGCGAAAAAAGGTTTAACATACATTCTACATACAACATACATACAACATACATACAATACAGCAGTTGTAATACTTACAACATTAATACAAGCCATTGTCTCCCTGCTCAAATAAACAATGGGACACAGAGTCAGCGGTGGAGATTCCACATTTCCATGACTGTTAACAGTACACACAATACAAGCACCAGTGTGGAGTACATTACATTTTATGTATACAGAACATGAATACATAATACAATTAGAAGTAATAATACTGCGTTTGTTGCAGTATTTCACACAACCTGGCAACTTGAGTTTGGTTCTCGGTCACAGCTAACATCAGTGGTGGGTGATATAAACCCACATTGACCAGCATGGTGAAGTATGGCCAAACCACCCCACGTCTTACGTGGCAAAGTGAATCCTTCATTGATCATTGATTTGAAAAAGGGATGGTGAAGTATTATTACTACGATTATGCTGTTTAGGGTAATCCACAACATTTATACTCGTAGAAAAATTGAGGGAATCAATGAAAACGAAGTATTAAGAGTAAACTCGTACTGGCAAGTTCAGCGTTGCTTACCAATAGGCAGCACGACAAACACCGTGGCACTTACACTGTCAGACTGCTCCTGATGTATTATTGAAAGATGGTTGTCACCATTATGCCTTGAGAACTGACACGTACACAAGGTTGATCAGGACACCCAACACGACCAAACACATTTCCCTTTTTTCAAAATCCATATTTTTATTTTGAGAGGTTGTGACCTGGCCTGCAGAGTGGAAAAAAAAAACATTGAGTGGTGTGACTGGTCAATTGTGATTGCTTGCGAGACACACCTATTGACAGATGGATGAATAACAGCATCTTGACTTAAAGCTTTCGTGACTGCAGGAATTCATATTCTTTGGGTCTTTCGGTAAAGCCACGTAGATAGAATTTTTGTGATTTTTGTTATTTTTCTATCTACGTGGCTTTACCGAAAGACCCAAAGAATATGAATTACAGCAAGTTTCAATGCATCGTCACACTCCTGCCAATGTATTGAATGATGTCGGTTTCATCATCGCATCACATCCTGTCCGACCTTCATCTCTTTCTCCGGCCCTTTCTTCCTTGCAGTCGTCAAGCGGCAATTTGTATCGTTCTGTCTCTTGGGACCTCGCTCTCTCTCAACATCGCTAACCCTTCCAGGACTTCCGACATCAAGCTACCGCCAGTGAGAATGCGTCCAATTCAGATATTACACACAACGAGCTTGCCACGAATAGACCACAATTCCTTGTTGATCTCGTCAAGGAGCACCATGAACCATCGGCACACCAACTCCCCCGCTCAACCTCGCAACAGTGGCAGCAGCAGCAGCGGCTTCTGGCTCAGCCATCGAACAAAGGCGGTGGTCACCGCATCATCATCATCATCGTCGCGCGCTTTCAGATGCGCTGCTGCGGCCGTCTGGAACGCTCTTCCTTCCGATATTAGAAAACCACTGGAGCTATGCACTTTTAAATCTCGTTTTAAAACTAAATTCTTTGGAACTGCTTTTTGCATTTAAGTGTGTTGTCCATTCCCCGCACCTCTGATGAGCACGGTTGGCTCCATACCGTGCGACAGACCTTCAACATACGTACATATTGTGCCTATTCTGGATTGTTCTGAGATTTTCTCTCCTCCTGAACCTGTTATAGAATCTCCTCATTACTCTTTTTCTAGACTTTTTGGTTCTTTCGGTAAAGTCACGTAAGTAGAAAAATAAAATAATATATCACGATGTCGCAATACAAGCGGCCGTCCTCAGGCGGAAAAAGAATCCAGTCGTGGGACTGCTGAACCAGCGAGAGAGCTGTTACAACAACAAGAGGTTATAGACTCTTTTTATGTCCACTCATCCGTTTTGTTTCCATTCGCTCTCGACGTATGAACGCGTCTTAGCTCATCAATCCACGTTTAGCTCGAGAGTGATAGTCGTGCGTGTCAGCCCTTCCGTGTCCTTGGCTGTAGCGGTGAGATGGCACCAATGCGCGTCAGGACCATCTAACGCCACAGAATCTGAGTGCGACTTCAAAGCTCTACTCGTTCAGAATTGACCAAACATTGAGAAATGTAGTCTCACTGGAATCAGAACGGTGGTTGTTAAGGAGAATATATATATTTTAACGTTTATTCTTCTCTACCTGCAGTTATTCATTTCCCTTTGACCTGGTCAGGCGATGCAGTGCTGAGAGAGAGAACGTTATATATTCGTAGCTCTGTTTTATATATATTTTATTATTTTATTGTTTCCCTTCAACGTGACTTTACCGAAAGAGCTAAGAATATGAATTACTGCAGTCACGAAAGCTTTAAATCAAAAAGAGAGAACGCTGTTTGCGATTTGAAGGTTGTGATTTCAAACCTGGCCGGAAATCCACTCGCTCGGTGTGAGCGGAATACGACCCCTGTCCTGTGCGCATTTCAGCTGGCATCCACTCAGATGTTTTATTATTTTTGTATCGCTTAATTGATTTCCACAACAGCTGGACCTGCGCTTCTGCGAGTTACACCACGAGACCATACAGGGCCTGGTGGGGATGTTAAAGGTTTCGCGTTCGATTGGTGCTACCTCTACTTGGCACGGTCATCCTGAAAATGATAGCGTCTGCTCATGGGCTAGCAAAGTGGCAGGGGCATCGTCAGGCTCATGGGAAATGTCATAAAATCCCGCGAAGCACTACTTTAAGAGTGCCCTCTTGACTTTGCTGTGTGATGTAGTATTTCTGTGCGGTGAATAATCACCCGTGTAATGCAAAGCTGCCGTATTTCTCTCTTTATTATCGAGTCGCGGATTAAAACTTAATTACACCTGATATATTGCTGTACACGTAATGAGACGTTACTGCAATGCCTGCTGTAGCATTTAAGCCTAATTAAGCAGCGTTGGATATTCGAGTCAAGGCGAACGATCACAATGAACGCGCCACCGTCAGGGCTGTGAGGTTAATGAGGAGAGCAGTTGGCAGAGGCGCAGACACTGCGGGTGTGTATGTTGAACTTCTTTCGCACAGTACGTAGCCATCCGTGTTCATCGGAGATGCCGGGGAAGGACAACAAACTAAGCACAAAAAGCAGTTCGAAAGCAATGCGTTTTCAATCCAGATTCAAAATGGAGATTGTGTCCACCGTGCGTGGACATTGCTCAGAGACACCCACAAGATGTTGGACTAAGAGCGTGGCGGTATTTCCTTGACCCCTGCAGCAATGCGGCAGAGACATACTCATCGCGCTGGCAACGGAACCTTTATCTCCGCCGAAGCGCACGACAAGTAGCCAGCAGTCGGTACGTGGAAGTGATGTACAGCATGTACCTGTTGTACAGTTTCACTCGATAATCCACGGAAAATTGGGGGGCGGACTTCGTGCGATCCTTCTGAGACTCCCACCAGGGTCACCCTCAACTTCCTCCGTCACCATGAATGGGTCATAGCTTGTTTGACACCCCATCGCCCCCCCTGTGAAAGTTTCCTGGCTTGGTTGGGAGGTTGGGACTGTGCTCCATGGACTCATTGCTTATTTGTTGTGGTAACTCCTTTGTTGTTTGTGCTTATTTTGGGTGCTATTTCTTTATTTGTATATTCATTTTTTCTTGGTAGTAGGGTTTTCATTTTCTTGGTAGTGGCTGTATATGGGATTTTGTCATTATATATAATTAATGTACAGCGTTATGGGATGCAATTAGCATGAATGACGCTATATAAAATGCAAGTATTATTATTTGGTCATCAACCCACAACGGCTGATTCATTATTTATCAGGCCGAGAAGATCAAACCGTGGCAGCATACCCGCCCACGCCTATAGTATATATACCTGGGAATCACCACAGTCGATCAACAGGTCGCTTCTCGTCAGCTTTCAGTTTTCAGTTTATTTATTTTGGTATAGCCCTGTGAGCCATTCGGCTCTTGAATCAGGTGCAACCACAACAAACAAAAAAAACAAAAACACGAACAAGAAAACATCTTAAAGTGACTATGTGACTGTGCAAACAGAAAATCCATGAATAAACCCAGCAAAATATTCCTGAAAAAAGTACCGTACACCAACGCTGTGTGCAAAAAAATCCCGGTGGGATGCAAATAAAACAATAACAACAACCACCACAAGAAAACTTAGTTTATGGCCGTCAGTCTAACTCCGTACTACAACAAAACAAACATGTCCAAACCAAAAAACTTTTCGAAATCACCAAAAAATAAAGCCATAATTGCAACGTAACAGTGATCATAGGGACTAACCGAATTTGTACAATAAACTACATAAATAACATGTAACACCAAATCCTAGAGCCATAGCTGGCTGCATGAGTTACTCCACAACAACAGAAGCATCAGTCGGAATATCAAATTTTTCAATGCACCTTTAAGATCAGCACGCTAAATCAAAATACAGATACTACTTTGCAGCGTCATCCGGAGAGAAACATTTTTATTTTATTATACGCCAATGAATAGCAGTGGCAGCTAGGGGTGTACAACTCCTCTAGAGCAGTTTTTAGAGAAGATCTCATTGGTAGCGATTCAAGTTGCAGTTTATTGGCAATAGCATTCCAGACCCTGAGGGCATCAATAGTAAAGGCCCTTCCTCCAGTTTTTGTACGGCAATAGGGAATGTGAAGCTGGTAAATG